ATGAACACCATGCTATATAAGCTCCCACACTCTTGTCGATACAAATACACATACATAAAAATAAATGAAAATGTAATAAAATGTAAACATCAACAAAAATAATAAACACATACATAAATTAACATGGTAACAGTTATGGCATGTGTCCTGTGTACTTTATTGACTGTCATCTACAAAATTCATGCTTGGAAACTATGCCATCAGGTTATAAAAGTCACAAAAATCTTATAATGCTGAAAATTTTTTATTTGGACACATTCAAATAGCTATCCTGGGCCACATGTGGCCTATGTTCTGTACTAGAATACCTTAGCATGCATATACATATACATGCATATACAATAAAATTTTATATTATAGAAGTCTTGTCATATGTAGAGAAATGAATATGATTGAAATTAATTGTGGTTTTTGTTTTGTTTTGTTTTTTATCACAGGTTTTGTCAGTGAGTTGTTGATCCTCTCCTTTCACTAGTCCCGACTGGCTGGGAGATTGTCACTTCAGTCTTCATGTCCCCCCATGTTAAGAGTCTCAGCTAGAATCACACCAATATCCACCCAGGAGCCCACCCTGTAACAGGCCTCCAGCTTGACCAAGAGATGTCCCTTCACAGGTTCCCTTCTTGTTCCCGGCCTTCTCACTTCCCACACTCATTCTCCCCACGTTTGATCTTGTTTCCCTCCATTCCATCTCCTGTCCAGTTCCTTACCCTGCCTATAAGAACTGTAGGGATCCTGAGGGAACAGCGATAGAGGGAAAATCCAAACAATAATTGGCCCAACCTGAGACTCACTCCTCAGCAGAGATCCAGTCCCTGACACTAATAATGATACTCTGCTATGCTTTCAGACAGAAGCCTAACTTCCCTGGGAAGCTCCAGCCAACAGCAGATTGAGACTGATGCTGAGGCCTGCCGTCAAGAATAGGGCAGGACTCTGGAGGTCCTGTGGAAGTGTTGGGGAAAAGATGAAAAGACGTAAAGACGTGGAGGGGACAGGAACCTCAGAAGAAGACAACCAGAGACAACTAACCCAGTCCCATGGGGGCTTTCAGAGACTGAGACATCAACTAAGGATCATGCATGATCTGGACCTAGACCCCAGGCACACATGTAGCCTAGGGGAGGCTTGGTCTTCATATGGGGCACCTGGCTAGTGGAGGGGTGGGGGGTGTTTCTAACATGGACTCTATTGCCTCATTTCCCTCAAGCAGGGCTGCCTTGCCTGGCATCAGGGGATGAAAATATGCTCAGTCCCAATGCGACTTGATGTGCTGGGGAAAGTTGACATGGGGAGAGGCGGTTCCCCTTTTCTGGGGGGAAAGGGGAAGGAGGAAGAAGGAGAAGTGTTGGGGGGTACTGGGATGAAGGGAGGGAAGGAGTACCCTTGGGATGTAAAGTAATAAACTAATGTAAAAGTTAAAAAAGGAAATAATTGTGTTAAGTAATTAAGGCAGTACCAGAAAGACGAATATTGTATATTTTTCTCATTGTTGCTCCTCGATTTTATATAGATATATAAAATTATGACATGAAAGTAAAATGAGACTGTCTAAGGGACAAAAGGATTAACAGGAGGGAAAGGGGTGAGAAGGGGAGAGTGGGAGAGTGTGGGAGCAATATGTTTAATATACAAACCACGCTTGTATGAAACTGAAATATAAATAAATCCAGAAGAAAATGAGATGAGGTAAATATGGCAATATTTTCCTCATGGATATGCAAATGAAATAGTGCCAGCTGTTAAAAAGATATATATTGTCTTCATTACTCTATCAGTGTTGCCGAAAGACCAACTGGTTGTATACATGTGGGTGTACTCGTGAGTTCCATTCTGTTTGGCTGGTCACTTGCTTTACATTTACATTTACATTGCTATAAATTTGCCATGCTTATTATGGCTCATAATATGGTTTTGATATTGATCAGTACAAATGATACAGTTTCAATCTTTTTAATTCAGTGCACCTATTTGTTCTCAGCTCTTTTAATTTCCATAAGAACTTTTCAAAAATAATTTTAAATTTCCACAAAATCACCTTGTGAAAGACTAATTTTTAACAAGCTAAGGCTGAATTCTGAATTTTTTTATATGATGTAGCATAGGTTGCTTTTAATTTCTCCAGGGCAAGCTCCATTCTAGAGAGTAGTCAGAGAACACTAATTGGACTCCATGCATATTACAAAAGATGCAAGTATCTTCTTAATTGATTTCCTGATGAACTGGCATTCTTTGTTGCCTTCACCTTTTTGATTTCAGATCGATTTCATTTTGATATGTCATTACACTCTCTTCTGGTCTACAAAAATTTTTTTTTCTGAGAAATCTACTTGTATTTTCATAGAAGGAATCCCTTTCATGTGAAAATGGCTTTATTTTTGTTTTGTTTTAAAATTCTCTGAGTTTGACTTTTGATAATTCAATTATGTTTTTAAACAGTGGCTTCTTTTTTTAAGTGACACCCTTTTTTAAAGAAGATTTTGTTTATTTTATGTCTGAGTGCTATATCTGCATGTACATACGCATGCCAGAATAGAGCATCAGATTCCAGTATAGATGGTTGTGGGCCGTCATGTGATTGCCGGGAATCGAACTCAGGACCTCTGGTAGAGCAGGCAGGGCTCTAATTAGTTGAGCCATCTCCCCAGCCCCTGATAATTCAATTCTAATACAGTTCATTAATCTTTTTGCATTTCAGATATCTGAGAAACTTTAGTCTTCATGGTGAGTGTCAATTTCTAGTTCCAAATTTGAGCATATTTTAACCATTGTTTATTTTAATCTTCTTTGTATTAGTCAATTTTTTGTTGTTATAAAAATTGCCAGAGGGTAGGTACTTTAAAAATAAAGCAGATTTGTTTACCTTATAATTTATAAGAGATGAATATCCAAGATCATTTATTCTCACTGTTCAGCTTCTGCCAAGGGCCTGCTTTGATGTCTCATAAAGAGATGGACAACATGACGGCAGAACCATGTGTGAAGGGGTACACAAAGACAGAAAGTCAGAGAGATTCAGAAGTCAGGCTCAATATTACAGAGGAATTCATTCTTGAGGAAACTAACTCATGTTGTGAGGCTAGCATTAATGCTTTGCAAAAGCAGTATTCTTAGCAACTTAATCACATTTCTTTAGGTAATTGGGTTCAAAAAGAATATTTATAATTATCTGGAAAAGATATTAACATTCTCCTACCTTTTTTTAGGTACCTATGTGCAGATCTTCCACTGAGACTTCAACCTAAGGAATTCATCACAGCAGAATGAATACAGAATCAAATATGAGGATCACCAAATAAAGAGAATTATAAAAAAGCAAGTGCAATTCATCTCACTAGTTTCTGTTCTGAAAGTGACAGTTATTTTAATTATTTTCATATAATACATGTTTTTAACTTGTAATGAGTTAGTAAAGATGAGTGTGTGTGTGTGTGTGTGTGTGTGTGTGTGTGTGTGTGTGTGTGTATGTGTGTGGTCTTTTTGAGAATATATGCCACATGTATATGGGTACCCACAGAGAATAAAAGAGTGTTCATCTCTTAACGCTAGAGTTACTGGCAGTTGTGTCTTCCAGGAACTGAACTTAGGTTCTCTGGAAGAGCAGCAAGTGCTCATAACCACTGAGCCATCTCTCCAGTCCTAAGTTATTTTTAAATAGGCAGTAAGTACCACTTTAAAACAAAACAGAAATAAAGAAATACAAAGGAGCAACTAGCAAGACCAAAGCCCAGCAAGAAAGACTATAGATGTTTAAGTTCTAGGTCCAGCCAGTCTATATACAGTATAGTAGGAATTAGTCATCCTGAACCCCGAGACCATGGCTGCCCTATCAATATTTTTATCTTCTCAAAGAATATTCTCTATGTTGGAGATATAGCTCAATGAGTATAAAGCCAACCTTGTATGCCCAAGGTACTGTGTTCAATCTTTAGCATCATGTAAAATGAAATGGTAGAGGCACATAGGGCTGCAATCCTAGGTATTCCAGAAACGGAAGCTGGAGAGTCGGGACTTGAATCTCAGTCTCTGCCTCATCCAGATCCAGGGCTATCTGAGCTATATTAGATCCCATTTGAAAACAGCAAAAGAGGAGGATCCAACATGGCGGCACCAAGAGCACACTATGTCTGATCAGCAAAGCAGCAGTGACTACACAGCTACCAGCAGACCCATCTGTGGGCCCCAAAACACTAGCAATTGTTTTACCAGATAAGGGGAAATCCCACAGTGTGGGAAGCAATTCCATCCCACATCTGAAAATAAAAAAAAAATAAAAGTTAAAAAAAAGGGAAGAAAAGGAGGGTAACTTCTATTCCAGGAAAGTCTTAATTCATTCTAGGAATTCCTCACCTCTCCTCCACCGTAAACTGAACCCACAAAATGAACTGTCCAATATCCCTGGGATGTGTTTCTTTTTTAACCTATTAGTCTTTTCTTATATATTATAGTCTCTGATTTAGTTTTCGTGTGGTATGTGTGTGTGCTGTGGGTTTTTTGTTTGTTTCCTTGCCTGCTTATTTTTGTTGTTGTTTTCTTTCTTTCATTTTATATTTTTAATTAATTAATATTTTATTCATTACAATTTATTCATTTGTATCCTAGGTGTAGTACTCTCCCTCATCCCAATGCATTCCCACCCTTCCTCTCTTCTCTCATCCCATGCCCTCCCCCACTTCACTGATAGGAGAGATCTTCCTCCTCTTCCATCTGATGCTATCCTATCAGGTCTCATCAGGACTGACAGCATTGTCTCCCTCTGTGGCTTGGTAAGGCTGCTCCCCCCTCAGAGGGAGGTGATCAAAGAGCCAGCCACTGAGTTCATGTCAGAGACAGTCCCTGTTCCCCTTACTAGGGTACCCACTTGGATACTGAGCTGCCATGGGCTACATCTGTTCAGGAGTTCTAGGTTATCTCCATGAATGGTCCTTGGTTAGAGTACCAGTCTTAGAAAAGACCCCTGTACCCAGAATTTTTTTTGTTCTGTTTCTCTCTTTCTGGCTTTCCTATCCCCTCCAGGTCTTCCATCTCTGGCATCTTTCATAAGATTCCCTGCATTCTGCCTAAAGGTTGGTTATGAGTCTAAGAATCTGCTTTGACATGCTGCAGGGTAGAGTCTTTCAGAGGCCCTCTGTGGTAATCTCCTGTCCTGTTCCCTGTTTTCTCCCTCTTTCAATGTCTATCCCATTTGCCTTTCTGAATGAGGGTTGATCATGTTACCCAGGGACCCACTTCTTACTTAGCTTATTTAGGTATACAGATTTTAGTGTGTTTATCCTATATTATATGTTTAATATCCACTTATAAGTGAGTATATACCATGTGTGTCTTTCTGCTTCTGGGTTACCACACTCAGGATGATCTTTTCTAGTTCCCACTATTTGCCTCCAAATTTCATGATTTCCTTGTTTTTTTTTTTTTTTTTGCTGAGTAGCATTCTGTTGTGTGAAAGTACCACAATTTCTGCACCCATTCCTCCACTGAGGGCCATCTGGTTGATTTCCAGATTCTTGCTATTATGAATAAAGCTGCTACAAATATGGTTGAGCAAATGTCCTTAATGACTATTTCAACATATTTTGGATATATGCCTAGAAATGGTATAGTTGGATCCTGAGGTACCACTATTCCAAATTGTCTGAGAAAGTGCCAGATTGATTTCCAAAGTGGTTGTACAAGTTTATATTACCACCAGTAATCAAAGAGGGTTCCCCTTTCTCTACATCCTCTCCAGTATGTGCTGTCACTTGAGTTTTTGATCTTAGCCATTCTGATGGGTGTAAGGTGAAATCTCAGGGTCATTTTGATTTGCATTTCCCTGATGACTGAGGATGTTGAGCATTTCTTTAAGTGTTTCTCTGCCATTCCATATTCCTCTATTGAGAATTCTCTGTTTAGCTCTGTACCTCATTTTTCAATTGGATTACTTGATTTATTGCTTTTAAACTTCTTGAGTTCTTTACATATTCTGGATATTAGCCCTCTGTCTGATATAGGGTTGGTGAAGATCCTTTCCTGGGGTGTAGGTTGTCATTTTGTTCTGATGACAGTGTCCTTTGCTTTACAGAAGCTTTTCAGTTTCATGAGGTCCCATTTATTGATTGTTGATCTTAGAGCCTGTGCTGTTGGTGTTCTGTTCAGGAAGTTGTCTCCTGTGCCAATGAGTTCAAGGTTCTTCCCCACTTTTTCTTCTAACAGGTTTAGTGTGTCTGGTTATATGTTGAAGTCTTTAATCGACTTGGACTTTAATTTTGTGCAGGGTGATAAGTATGGATCTATTTGTATTTATCTGCATGTAGACATCCAGTTAGACCAGCACCATTTGTTGAAGATGCTGTCTCCCCCCCCCCCATTGTATGGTTTTGGTTTCTTTGTGAAAAACAGGTATACGTAGGTGTGTGGGTTTATTTCTGGGTCTCCTATACAATTTTATCTATCATTCTATTTATATGCTAGTACTATGCATTCTTTATTAATAATGCTCTGTAGTACAGCTTGGTAGCAGGGATGGAGATACCTTCAGTTGATCTGTTGTTGTACAAGGTAGTTTTAGGAATTCTGAGTTTTTTGTTTTTCCATATGAAGTTGAGAATTGTTCTTTCAAGTTCTGTAAAGAATTGTGTTGGTGTTTTGATGGGAATTGCATTGAATCTGTAGATTGCTTTTGGCAGGATGGCCATTTTCACTATGTTAATCCTACCGATCCATGAGCATGGGAGATCTTTCCATCTTCTGGTATCTTCTTCAATTTCTTTCTTCAGAGTCTTGAAGATTTTTTTTCCAAACAAGTCTTTCACTTGATTGGTTAGGGTCACACCGAGGTACTTTATGTTATTAGTTGCTATTCTGAAGTGGTAGTTTCCCTAATTTCTTTCTCAGAACTTTTGTCTTTCGTATACAGAAGGGCTACTGACTTTTTTT